TATTGGTTTGGTCTCATGTCACAGGGATAAACATCTGGATAGCTCAAGACAATCACAGCTTTGGGCTCAGAACAGGCATGGCAGCTTTGTCCTGTGTGCTGTTACTTCAGTATAAAATCTGTGCTTTGTCCACAGCCAGGCTCTGCCTCCTCCTCAAAGAGCTCTGAGACACTGCTCTGTGCTGCAGAGATCCCTCCCTTCAAGATGACCCAGAACCCTGGCAGGGCTGTCTCCAAGGAGACCAAGGAAGAGTTGACACCTTGGACACCCCTAGGCAAAAAAGGCTTGGGATGAACCTGCTTCTACCTGTGAGAGTAAGGGGATCAGGACTGGGGGCTTCAGATCTAGTTTGCACTAAAATAGTAATGTTAGATTGTCACAGCCAGAGTAACATCTGGTATTGACTTAGAAAAGGCAATGTCCTTACCTGTGCAGTCATGATCCAGAAGCAACATTAACCTGAATGTCTCAAGTCTATATAGCTACCTATATGCCACTAACAGCTGCTTTGCTTTCTGTTTTCCAAGCAGAATACCTCCCTGAGGCTTGATTTTTTTCAGTGGTGAAGAAGAGATGGATTCTTTTCCAAGATTAGCTTGTTCCCTTGTAGTGAGCCCCTATGTGATGTTAGCTTTGTCAACTTGACACAACATTGAATAGCCTGGAAAGAGTCTTGCTGAGGGACTGTCTACTTTGGGTTGGCCAGTGGACATGTTTGTGGAGGCACTGTGGGCAGTGCCATTCCCTAAGCAAGGATTCCTGAAGTGTCTAAAAGGAGAAACTTAGCTGAGTGCAAATAAGCAAAGAAATGGGCACAATGCATTTGTTGTGCCTCTAGTCTTGCCTGTGGATGTAACCAGCTCCCTCACATTCCTGCTACCTTGATTTTGCCACATGGTGGACTGCCATATAAAATTATGAGCTAAAATAAATCTTTACCCCTGTGTTGCTTTTTGTCAGGATGTTTCATCATAACAACAGGAATGAAACTAAAACACCAGAATTCTGCAATCCAACAGCTATGTAGGATATGTGAGTAAATACAATGGGAGGGTTCATGCCTTTCTAGCTGATGGAGAGGAATAGGGTTGACATAGTGTCTGCGGGGCTCACAAGATGTTCTCCATCATATTATTGATGGTACATGAGGGGTATTGATGTGGTTTAAGGAGTACTTGGCCCTATGTACCCCAATTGTATAATATCACCCATATCAACTTCCCTGACTCCTTGACCTGTTTACACTTTAGGCCTTGGCTTTCTCTCTTGTGCTATCACTGCAGTAGCAGATCACTACACTAAGTTGTCTCAGGATCTCCCAATTCTTGTTTCCCCTTCTGAGTAGCCACTCCTCCCAGGTGGCTACGTGACAGCCAACCTTGGCACCCCACTCCCAAAATATCCTTGTACTACAAACTTTGCCCACATTTGTTAACTTGGTATTTTCAGGCCAGACATGCTGTCTCCAGCCAATCTTCCTGGCCTTCTTTGAGCCCAATCGCTTGGTGTTTTTGGCCTTTGGCCTCAGCAGACAACCTTGCAGAGTCCCACAATGCACTGTGTTCTGCTCCCACAGCTTGCTTTCCATGATGACATTATTTCCTCCCTTTGGCTTTTAAGATGCTAATCCACTCTTGAAGAGGGAAAATAAACAAGGGTGTCTAGTAAAAGCTCAAATGCTTCTGCCTTAGGCATTCTTTCTAGCTGACCCACCAAAAAGTCCCTTCCTCCCCTGGCCAGATTTTGTTCATTTGTTTCTAAAACAGCATCTTGCTATGTAACTTGGGCTTTCCTTGAACTCATGATCCTCCTGCCTCAGCATCCTAAGTCCTAGAAAGCACCACCACATTTAGCCTTTTTCTATTTTTTGGTACTTGTCATTGAACCCAGTGCCTGCCGCATACTAGCAGGAACTCTATCACTAATCAGTGCCTGTGTTTATTTTCTACCTTATTAGACAAAACCTTTGGCCCAGAGCTGGTGCTTGGGAACCCTCAGCTGATTCTGATGAAGCACACTGGTGCTGGCTGTAATGGCCTCCAATAGGAGCAACTATAACATCCATACTAAACCCTGTTGCCCTGTGTTTGCCATGGACAGCTGGATGTACATTATACTGGTGCTGTATAAGCTCACTGAGAAGCTGTCTCTGGAATGGGGCTGTCCCTAGCCCCTTTGAGAGCCAAGTATGTTTGTCTCAAAGTGTCTTCCAAGGCCCCTTCTACTGTGGTAGCTCCCCCACTCTGTGATGGGGGAGGGGGTAAAACAGTCCAAGAGTAAAAATATTGTATCCTTGAGAACAGCTAGAAGGTAAACCACTTCCAGTAGATGTTACTACTGTTAGCCCCATATTAAAGTCCTGCAATGGGAAAGAGAAACTAGAAGTTCAACAATGAGAAGCGCAGTATTGGAGAAAAAGCCCACTTGGGAATTCCAACTGTTTCAACTTTTCCAGTCAATTTCTGCTGGATGCTTTGTATACGGGTCTCACAGCATTTTGATATCTACCCACTGCATGCTATTTTCCCCTTTCCTTAAGCTTGTTTTGTGCCTAAACTCACTCATTCTAAGTTGAAAGTATGGCTATCACAGGTAATTCTCAAGACCACACAGAACTGCCACCATGTGTGTGGAAGACACGGCCTCACTCTTGTCACACAAGCCTATCCAGACCTAGAACCTAGAACCCTTTGTCTCCAGGGCAAAGTCTACTCACATCCCTGTGTGAAAGAGCAGCAGAGAGCTTACTGACAGAATGAGAAGAGGAAACAGATGACAGTGGCCCCCACATCCAGCAGTAAGTCACCTGTAAGTCCTTATCACACCCTCTCCTGGCTCACAAAGGACACAACAGTCCCTGTCTTCCTCCTTGTAGCAACTGACCTTGCTAGTTTCTCTTCCCTCCAAAGGGTCAACTTCCATTCTCCCTCTTGTAAAGTTAGCCTTCCACTGACACCAGCGTGACTTTACAGCCTGAGCTCACACAAGGTCCCTAGGGTCATGTGCTCCACCAGGCTATCTGGCATGTAGTACCTACCCAACTCCCTCCAGCAGTGTGCGAGGCATCTCTCCTAAACACCACTAGAAAGGATTTGAGTAAGTGAGACCCCCAGCACCTTCTTCACTTACATTCACCTCCTCATGGAAGAAGCAGTTTCTGAAGAACCATGGGCCCCCCAGGTCCCAGCTGATGAAGTCCCTGCTTATTCTACCTACCAGCCAAATGACTCAAGCCCAAGAATGGTGACCTGCACAAAACATATGCCAGTGTAACAGAGAGAAGTCATCTGAACACATCATCAGACAACTCCTGACCCAAGAAAGCCACCAGCCAGGGCTGCAATAGGAAAGGAGCCCACCCAGGACGAGTACAGACCTGTCAGGAGTAGGCAGAGGTCCCACCTACCCAGTTCTTCCCTGTCCTTTGCACTGAAACATTGATAACTCCAACATAATGCTAACTCTGGCCCAGAAAAGTGGTGTAGATATTACAGTACTGCCTTACTCACAATTCTTACCCTAAACCAGGGGCTCATGAGGCCACCTGGTGAAGCTGAGCTCTCTGCTAGCAGATGAGAGAGGCAGGGTGTGCCTGGGAAAGGATCAGCATGAGCAAGCCCTCACTGTGGAGGGCCTTGGTGACAGACCCAGAGTACAGCATGCATACAGACACAAACACACAACACATACACGCTATACCAAACACACACATACCACACATACACAATATGCCATACATACAACACACAGAAACACAAACCACACATACACACTATAACACACACCAGAAATATATACTATAACATACATATATACACACCACACATATGCACTATAACATACATACAAACACACTATAATACATACAACATGCATACACACTATAACACATGCGTCATGCAAACCACACATATACACTGTAACACACACATACCAGACATACACACTAAACATACATGCATACACACCACACATATACACTATAACACATACACATTATAACACACACCATACATACACAATATAACACAAACATTACGCAAAACACACACACCACGCATAAACACTATAATACACATATACTATAACACACACACCATTCATACTCACTATAACACATACATCATACAAACCATATACACCACACATAAACACAAAAACAAACACTACACATATACAATACAACACACACGCCATGCATATACACTATACCACATACATCACACAAATGCCACACATACATGCTATAATACATACACCACTATAATACCCTCACCACATACACACTATGACACACACATACATGCACGCGCGCGCGCGCACACACACACACACACACACACACACACACACACAGGAGCTGTCCATAGTCTTCATATGGGCACTGCAGGAGCTAGTTCACATGGTACAGATTAGGACACTGCATCCAAACAGTTCTGCCAGGCAACAGCAAGAATGTGTATAGACTAAGACTGTCTCTCTCCCTTCCTTCCTTCCTTCCTTCTTTCCTTCCTTCCTTCCTTCCCTCCTTCCTTCCTTCCTTTCTTTCTCTCTCCCTCCCTCCATCCCTCTTCCCCCCCTCTCTTTCTCTTTCTCTCTCTTTCTGTCAGAGTGGGGAGCCCTAGATCCTGAATTAACAAACTCTGGACACATTTCTGGTTTGTGTTGCTATACCCCACCCTTTATTCTGAGACAGTACAGGTATAGTGCTTGGTGCATGTCTGGTTTTGTTCATGCATGTGTACATCTGTTTTATTGACAGAGACAATTCAGCACATCCCCAAGCAGGTTGTGAATGCACAATGCTGGCTTACTCTCTGTAAACAGCTTCAAACTACAGCTTAGATATGGGTAAGAGTGCTGGGCTGATCCATGAGCTCAGGGGAGCCTGGCCACTCATTATACTTGGCCTGGAGAAAACTCAGAGCATCATCACCTCTCCCAAGAAACCCCTTTCCCAGATGCAAGACCACCTCATATGTGAGGGGCCAGAGACTCACCAGGACTCTGCCAGTCAGTGTCTGGGCGGATATCATCACCCCTGCCCAGTCCTTCACGGATGTCATCCAGCCGACCTCGGCTGCCACCACCTCCTCTTTTTCGTCCACTGGCTTGAGAGTACCATCTGCCTGGCTGGAGCCATTATTTATCTTCTGGGCCTCCTGACAACAGAAAAAAATCAGAATTGAGACACAGGAAACAACTAGATTTGAATAAGATGCCATCCATAAAGAATCAGAATCCAAAGGGGTTCCCAGATGAAGGAATGTGATTAAAGATAGAGGTGGGGGAGAAGAGGTGGTTTAGGATTTTATTTTCTTTAATTTTTTTAAATCAAGCTGTGGAGATTGCTTAATGGGTAAAGCACTTTGCAAGCAGCTGTGAAGACCTGAGTTTAAATCCCCCAAAGCCACATAAAAGCTGGGCACAGTAGAGTACATCTGTGACTTCAACACTTACAGAGAGATGGGAGGTGGAGACAGGAAGATCTCCAGAAACTGCTGACTGTTCCCCCTCTTAACTGCTCTGTAACTAGAGACAGGTATGTTGCATAGTGCCAACCCCATTTTTCTTTACTAATTTCCCATCTTTTCTCCTCTGTCTATGCCATTCAAAAAGGAATCATGATGGACCCACAATGTATCCAGCAATATAGACTGATGGATCAGGCATTCTATACCCTGGCAAAACCCATGTGGGCCATGGATAGTCACATGACCTCTGTCAAGCCAATAAGGTTCAACTGTGGTACATTTGTTGAAACAGGAAGGGGCAAGTGATCATTTGCTAAAAAGGAAGACAACACGGAGGAAAAATGTGATGGAATGCTAATGTCATAATCTGAATGCCTAGATCCAGCTGTGCCTGAAGTCCAGCTCTTTGAGTTACAAGAGACAATAAATTCCCCCTTCAGAGCTTGAAACATGCTTGAAGAAAAAAGGCTTCAGATACCCAAACCCCACATGAATCTGAAAATGATACACTTTTGCACACAATGTGCCTGTGCCTAGGTTGCTCCCATCCTTCACTGGCCAAGGTTTGCTTCTGCCTCTGTCTTCTTGAATTTTCACCTATAGACTCTCAACTTCTCAATAAACTCTTTCTCACTACCCTCTGAAAATACCAACACTTTTCTTCCATGCCAAATTTTTTGCTTTACTATTTTCATAACACTTGAACCCTCTAGTATACTCTATAACTCACTCACTTCATTTACCATTCCACAACCCAACACTGCTGTTAGCCCTGACCCCTAACATGGTCTTAATCACAAATCAGTTATAATAAACATGAATGAAGTTAGGCATGGTGGCATACACCTATAATCTCAGGAGGCTGAGGCAAGAGGATTATCCAGAATTTTAAAGTCAGCCTGGGCCACAGGGTCCAGATAAACAAACAAACAACAACAAAAAGCAGTCAAAACTTTGAATGACTACAAAGAATTCTGAGTATCTGTCCATTGTCACCTCCAGAGCCTGGGTTTTGGACACCAGATAAAATATAAGGTGCTCAGTCAAATTTGAAATTTAGATAAACAAATATCTTTATAAATATGTCCAAAAGTGCATGGGTTATACATACACTAAGGACTCATCTTTGATCTAAATCAAATTTAACTAGATCCATACTCAAAACACCCACTGAGATTATCAGTGCAGATGGAGATGGAAAAAGAAGTCAGTAAATTATACTCATCACTTATAATCCTGGTATTAATTTCCAAAGATAAAAACACTGGGGATCATTGTGCTTTGGTCTAAAGAGGGACTGGGGAAGGGGAACCAAATCAGAGGTAGAACTCTCCTGCAAGGAGAAAGGTGGGTCCAGTGAGGCCAGGGAAACAGGAAGCCTGGGTTTGGAAAGGTTCCTGATGCCAACTCTTCTCCTGCTGGCTGGCCCTGGCTCAAGTAGAGCAGTATTGAGAAGCTGGGCTGTAGGACTGGATGCCCATGGTATTTTACTCCTCAGTGTTTTAAGCTGCAGGAGCTGGAACAACCCCACTGGGAGCCTGAGAGGGGGAGGCCTTGGGCCACCTGCTGATTCATGTGACATCTGCCTCTCAAATCTTTTAGGCTACTTTCATTGGCCTGCTAGCTCTGGTCCTGGTGCTGAGACTCAAGGCATGAGTCTCCAGGAGGATAGGGAGGATGTGGTCCTTGGCAGCCTTGGTAACCAAGGTGAATATTTAAAACACAAACACAGCCCTCCCACCACTTCAGGGACTGCCCTGTCAGCTGGGGCAATATTGCCTGTTCCTCAGAACTAAACAGTACCCAATGGCACAGAACACAGACTCAGTTACTGCAACCCAGAATGCTCACCCCTACCTCATGTCCAACATTGACTCTGAATGCAGTGGTTCTCAGTCTTGGGCTAGCACTGAAATCAAAAGCACAAGGTACATTCAGCTACTCATGGTGCCAGACCCACTCCAGAAACTGCAGTTTTATCTCGTGATCATGCCTGATGTCAGCTTAGAACCACAGGTCTTGCCCTTCCAAAATAGATCATAGACTTTAACTCCAGCACTTTCCTGGAATCTTCTTCAGCCAGCATCACCTGCTACTTTCAGAACTTGCCTATGAAAGGTGAGGGCTGAGGGAAAGACACATTTTCAAACCAACATTCTTGTGTTTGCTTCTATTTGATTGTTTTTGAGACAGGGCCTCGAGTAGCTTCAAGTGCCTCAAACCAGGTATGTAGACAAGGATGAGCTTATACTTCTGAGCTCCCCTGCCTCTACCTCTGAAGTGCTGAGATTATAGGCATACACTACCACTTCCAGTTTACGCCACACTAGAAATCAAACCCAGGACTCTGAGTATGCTAGGCAAGCACACTACCAACTGAGCTACACATAACACCAGCCAACTGGGCTCTGGCCACCTGGAGGGCCAATTTCCTCCTGCTTGAGCCTGCTGTCTCAAAGGACAGCCACATTCAGCATGGAAAAGGCCCAGAGGCAGGAGTTCCCTGCAGCCATCATGGTTTTAATGCATCTATAATTCACAGCATAAGAGGTATACAGCACATAGCATGCTATTTCTCCAACCCTCTTACCTATTGTTTTACAAGGCATTCATTAGTTTAATTGCTTTATGATAGGCATGGAAAAACACAAACTAACGGGAGATAATGCCTTTGTTATTATTTGCTTATACTAGATGTTGTGAGCTTAATTACCACATGTGGGAGGCAGGATTGGGGGAGGGACCACAGAAGCAGGGAGCCACATCAAACCCTGTGCCAGCCTGCCAGGTTAAGCTGGGGGTTTCTGTGCCTGGACGGCAAAGTCCTGCACCCTAGTAGAACTAATGTTGTATCTCCACATACCAGAGGAAAGGGGGTGGGACCTGGAGTGTTAAATGGCCCTGCTGGGGGCATGCAGGAGGTGAGAAGTGCTGAGTTAGACAGAACTTCTTAGAGCAGCAATGGTCCCCATTTAGGAGGCCAGGACTAGATTTCAACCATTAGGAAGTAAATGTTTTCCATGCATCCATCTTTGACATGCTCTATAAGAAATGCAGCAGATAAGTGGGATTTCACGGGCCATTTGATAGATAATGTAACTGAGAGAAGGTGTCACCGGGGACAGCAGAGAGCCCACTAGGACTTGAGTGTACTCTACTCCATTGGGCCATGAGAACTTAAGAGCATCTGTCTCCTCCGTGCAGAGTGAGGGATACTGGAGAGCAGAATGGCTTCAGTCTCCTCCTACCACACACCATACCGGGCAATGGCCTTTCCTACTTTCTCCTTATTCCTTTTAGTGTTGTTCCCACCATAATGTCCCACTGGCATGGATAAAGATGGGGCTGTCCCTTTTAAGTAACCTGTGGCCAATGGCCTGATTGGATCCCAGTCCCTGGTGGTCAGCATACAAATCATTTGTTGGGGATTTGAGCATTGCTACCAAATATAACTTATGCAGGCACCTCAGAATGTTAAGCAGATAAGCCAGACTTAGAAAAACAAATACCACATTTTCTCTCATGTATGGAATCTAGATTTGAATACACACACACACACACACACACACACACACACACACACACATGACATGAAAGTAGGACAATTTGAGGGGATCAGAGAGAAGGGAAAAGGAGGAACAAGCATATGTACAAATACATAAATGAAAAATCAATGTGCAAATACCTAAATGAAAAATCAGGATGGAACTTATTTTGTATGAAAGGGGCTTGGCAACTTCTCAGGATACCTTCCCTCTCCCTGGCTATACAGATGAGAAACTGAGGGCTATGAAGGAAACCACATGGCCTTCCCCCAGGCCACTCAAGCAACACTCCAGTTGAGATAATAGCCCCACTAATTGGCTGTTACCTCTTGTGTTTCCACAGCATGAGGATGACTTCAGATATAGTCACTGTCAAGCAGTTGTCCAATGCTACAAAAGGCTGAAGCCTTGGCTTAGCTTATGGAACCTATGGGAGAAACCACACCTTTCCCAAGGGGTTCAGCTTTCCTAGCAGTGAGAACCACCCTGGCCTGACACATGAGAGTAAAAGCTAGATTCAATCCTAGGACTCCCTCACCCCAGCTCCCAATCCTCAGATCTGACTTCCTGAACTGGACCCAGTACATTGATGACCTCAGGTCTGTCGTTCAGGACAAAGAGCTTTGAGAAACAGGATGCTGAAGTCAAAGATCAGTTCTTGTAGGTGACTCTAGGCAAATCATTTCATGAACCCAAACCCTTGTGTGCTTTTCTGTAAATGCTACTTCCCACCTGTACTGCCCAGTGACTCTTGCACAACACTCCCCCAAACACCACTGTTGTATAAAGAGAACAGTGAGGCACCCCATCCTCCAGGACTGCTGAGAAATGGGGCTGCTCTGCTGGAGGAGACTCACACCCCAAAGCCAGCAGCCTCACAGAGCACAAAACTGAAATGCAGTAGCACTCTGCCCTGCTGCAGAATGCACAGTAGGGGCCCTTTCTTTTCTTACCACAGGGATGTTGCAATGACAAGTCCAGTCAGAAGCTTGTGCTAGAAAAGCCTCCTGGTAGGGTGCCAGCAGCTGTCACACCTCTCCTGTCCTTGCCTGGTCAGGCTTCCTCCCAGACCAGGGCATGCACACAGACACATGTTGGCACAGCCAGGGGCCAAGGTCACCTTAGGCACCACAACTCAGCAGGTACACTGAGGTAGGGACCCAGCTGTCCTAGTGACTGAAGAAGACAACCCTGGGAGTGCAATGGGTTTAATTACACCTCAGGCTTTGGTTACTGGTTAGGCAATGACCCTCTGCAAAAGAGAATACAGGGCCTAAGCCCTCCCCCATGTGTCTAGGCTGAGAGAGTATCCATCTTTGTGGAATGGGCTCCCAAAGTCCATTTTATACTAGGGATAAATACTGATCCACTACCAGAAGCCCATAGACAGCGGAGGCCTCACTGACACCCACATTCAGGAGGGTCTGGGTTACTCCTATGCTGGTTTCCCAGTTATCAGTCTGGGGTCCATGAGCTTCCCCTTGTTTTTGTGGGTTTCTCCAACCTGGTCTTGACCCCTTTGCTCAACACTCCTCCCTCTCTGCAACTGGATTCCAGAGTTCAGCTCAGTGTTTGGCTGCGGGTATCTGCTTCTGCTTCCATCAGCTACTGGATGAAGGCTCTAAGATGGCATATAAGGTAGTCATTGATCTCATTATAGGGGAGGGGCATTTAAC